CGTGGAGTCTGTTTCAGGTCGGACAACTCCTCCTAGACCTGGGACCTGCCCTCGGGTGTGGCTGATATGTCCTGAAATACTCCACTGGAGAAAGCAACTGACTTTCCGCTTTCCAGAAGTTGTCAGTTGCAAATCGCTTCTTAGTTAGAGGTGGGATTTTATGTCCACTTTCTTCTCTCCGCACTGGGACCCCATCTGATGTAGACCCGTGCAGGCCTTCTGTGTGCGGCCACAGTCTCTGTAAGCTCATGTGTACATCGGCCCTGTTGTGTCTGGATCCCCGCTGGCTCTCACAACCTTCCTACCTCCGCTTCTGTGTAATCCCTGAGCCCTGCGTGGATGGTTGGATGGAGACCTCCCTTTTAGGACTGAGTGTTCCAAGGTCTCCCACTCTCTGCATCATCATCCAGCTATAGGTCTCTGTATTCGTTCCCATCGACAGCAAAGAGAAGTGTCTCGGAGGGGACTTGAGCAAGGTACCTATCTGTGGGTGTAGCATGGACTCAAAGATGAGTTAAAGAAGATAAAGGGGTCATAACCTGCAGAAGTAACCATGGCACAAAGGGAAAAGTAAAAGGAGCTATTGAAAAAAAAAAAAAACAGGAAACTTTGTTGTTGGAGGCTGCTTGTTTGTTCGAGGCCACCCAGACCATGAAATAACCACTCAGAATATATGTTAATTAAATCACTGCTTGGCCGTTCACTTAGGCGTCTTTCTGTCTAACTCTTATATTCTAAACTAACCCATCTCCGTTAATCTATGTATCACCACATGGCTGTGGCTTACCAGGGAAATATCTGTCCAGCGTCTGGTGTGGCTTCTCCAGTAGGGCTCCATGGCTTCTCCCTGACTCTGCCTACTCTCTCTATATGTATTTCTTCCACCCTGGCTATATTTCTGTTAAGCCATTAGCTGGAAGCAGCTTCTTTATTAACCAATAAAAGTAACACATATACAGAAGGACTTCTCTCACCGAAACACTTTAAGGAGAATCAGGGAAGAGATCAGTGATATCCTCCGAGCAAAGTCATGAGTGTTGTGTTTCTTAGAGATTGAAGCAAGTGGGATTTGCATGTAGAAAAAGGAAGGACAATGTTTTAATAGATTAAAGCAAACTACAACTCAGAGGAAAGATGGATGAAGAGGATGCCTGAGGAAAAATTTGCCAGATGTACGCTGAACTTCCTTTTTTCCTTCCATTTTCATTTTAATTTTATGTTATCTATTTTGCCTGCATGTATGTCTGTGTAACACTTGCGTGCCTGCCTGGTGTCCACAGAGGCCAGAAGGGGGCGTTAGATCCCATGGAACTGGAGTCAGGGATGTTTGTGAACCATCATAGAGGTGCTGGGACTCAAACTTGGGTCTGTCCTCTGGAAGAGCAGCCAGTGTTTTGAGCCATCTCTCCAGCCCTGCGGCAGTCAGACTTTCTTTCTTAAAGACTTATTTCTATTATCTTAAAAATATGCATGTGTATGTGTGGGGTGTATACATGTAAGCTTAGGGGCTCGTGAAACTCGAGCCATCAAATCTCTCGGCAGATGTGAGGTATCTAGCATGTGTACTGGGAGCTGAACACACATCCTCTGAGAGAAAAGTACATGATTTTAACTGCTGAGCCATCTCTCCAGCTCCCCATGTCAGGCTTTCTGTGACCAAATACCCCTCTCACTCTGAGGTTATTTTTACGTTTGATAGGCACTAGGAAGCCGGTTGTAATTTTCCAGAATTACAGTGGCATCCTCAGATCTGTGTCTCAGTGATGCATGAGGTCAGTTTGTCCCAAATCCATATATCTAAAACCTTTTTGTGACTCTGAGCAAAGCTTACCCTCCGTGGATTAGCTCAGCCCCAAAGGCCGAAGGTGCAGCCTGCGTTGTTCCTATGAGATGCGCTCACCTGACTTTGCCTCTCAAGCATTTTAATAATCTCCACTCTAGACACTGTTCTCTGTGACTTTATGCCCATTTTGAACCTTGGTCCCTAAATGCTTCCCTGGATATTCAGTAATTCTTTATGTACAGACTCTAAAATGACTTCTCTCTGTTCTCAGTATGACTCATAGTTATATTTGTTTTAGGCAAATATTTTGTTTTTTTTTTAAAAAATATTCCAAGTCGTGCAACTGATCATATTTATTCTTTGTGTTGGAAGCTGCGATGTTGACAGCCAGATTTTTATGCCTCTTTAAAACTGTAGCGAGCTGTGTAGCCCTAGATCTGTCTCTCTCTTTCCTACTTCTGTTCTTTTATTCTGTCGTCTCTTCTGGCCGTGTTTAGCTCTATCTCATCTTGCTAGGATTTATATGCTTGCTCCGTGTTGAGTAGATGGTGAGGATAAAGGCACACTCCAGCCATGTCCCATTTGCCCAGAATCTTGAGAACTGGTGTGAGTTCTGAGCCTGTGGATATTGCTCCTGTCTATGATACGGTGTAGAATTTAAACGTTCAGTTACCCCACTCAGACGCTCCCCGCTGAGTCTGTAGAGATCAGGACCTTCGGCATCTGGACCTGTTCGCCTCGCAGATCTCTTGGCTGTGTAGCCAAATGAGAAGTGGTCCCAGCAGCAGTACTGCATTGCTGAAGTGGCTGGATGGGCCATGGGAAGAACTGGTGCCAAGTCCTTACTACATGCTTAGAAACTCGGGGCAGACTTTTGGTGCCTTAAATGGAACTTTCCCATAGTGGCTGCGTGTTGATTTCTTTTAAGAGGAATCCTGAACTAACACATTCAAATACATGACAGAGATCTTAAATTTGTGTAGCATTTGATAGCAACCTTCACGTCCACGTGTGCTATTTCCCCGTTTGTAGAGTGAATTCACCTGGGCCCCGACTCAGCACATCCCTGTAGCACAGAATGTGGTTACATGTTTGCCGAATGTAGGCATCAATGGACAACGGAGTAGATTTGATTGAATCCGTCGAGTTGTCCTGAGATCATACAGAACGGGCTCTACCGTGATTCTTCACAAAGAATTAACTTGGTTCTTCTGATTCCTAGAAGCCTCGGACCATATAGTAGTTGCCGTAACAGACATGTGTAGAGTGCCGTGCCATTCTTGGATGATACCAAGCTCAAAGGCATGGCGTCACCTGGCCCCTCCTGCCTTCTCGGCAAAGTCTTGTCACCTTGTCCTTTGAACTATTTCTGCCTTGCACTCTTTGTTTCCATCCCACGCCCCCATAGCTGCCGCTTGCCATGGCAGACTGTGCGGAGCTTTCTGAACATGCCTTCCAGCTTTCCGTGAAGAATCTCATGTGTACCGGTGCTGAGGAAGACAGCTCTAATTAATTACACGAGACCTGAATAATGAATCTTCCGTGGGGCTTAGACTGAGGCCTGGTGTCGTGAAAGAACTTCAACTCTGTGCCATTTTAGCCCTGCGATTCCTTCTAAGGCGTGCTGCATTCTAGCAAGACTTGGACCTTCATTTGTCCTGATCGCCAAGACACTGAATCAGGGAAGGTTTTTGAGGTGTCTCGTGTGGGGAACTTTAGGAACAGCGGCTCCACAAGGAATTCGCTTGCTGTTATAGATTTAGATATTTTTGTCTCTGCGTTTCTTTTCAAGAGTGAGAAGTTGTTGGTTGTTAAGCTACAGGAGAGGGATTGTTAGACACCGGTAGAAACACATAATAATCACTGACGTTGTGTGTTGTGGGAGGAGCTATCTGCTACAGAAGTTTGATCATAAAGCCCACCCTATTGCCCGTCATGCATTCATTTCATGCAACCAGAATTACAGCGCGTGACTGTATTATTTTCCTTAATAATCACTGCTGGATTTCCAAGTCTCTGAAAGATAAGCCACCACGTTTCCTATTCTCTGTTAATATAGGTATTTATATTATTAGCATGATTTAATAAGATACTTTACAGTTATGTTGCATTTTGAAGTATATTTAATAAAAAATAATAGGTATTTTATGTGTGGAGGAAGATAATAAGTTTGATATTAAATTAAGGAATCATCCTTCTGATAAAATACAGTATTTGTCAATTTAGTAAAAATATATATTCAAAGCTAAGACATGCAAAGTAGATCTCAGATGCTGCAATGACCTGTGGTTTTAGCTGATGATTTACTAGCTCTAGAGTGTTACCCGCATAGTTATAATGCAATATTGTGTTTGTATTTTGAAATCATTGGGCATCTTCTGCTTCTGGTTTGGAGCAGAATATCTGTACCACTGATGTATTGATAGGAGTCGCTCTGGTCACCTACGACTCACTCCAGAAATGTAGTTTTCCTGCACACTGTGAAATTGGAGAATCTGTTCTGTGTGTGTTCTAATGGCTGTCACGGTCATTAAGTATATGAGGCTTCTGACGTTGTAATCAGATGTGATTCAGCCTGCTAAGTATCCATGAAGCAACATCTGCTCCGTGGAGTGACCTTCTGCTACAGAATGCTTAGCGTCTATTAGTGGATCAGAGCACGGAGCCGCCTGTTTGGGATGCGCTAAACTCGAGCAGGCTACCGCTGGTTAGCAACTAGCTCGTAATAATTTATCGCAGTTAAATAAAGCTTTAAAAAACTCCATTAAATAATTATAGGGATTATATGCATTTCGAAAACCTTTGTGTTCGACCAAAATCACCCATTTAATTTCAGGCTTGGTTTGTTAAAATAAAAAAAGAAAAAAATCTAAAATCTAAAGGCACATTAGGGGAGCTGTCAGATGTTGTTTTCTGTAGGTGTTAATAAATCCAGATGAAAAAAAAAAAGTCTGAAACAAATTAAAACCAAAAGCAATTTTGCCATCTGTTGTATATTAATTAGAACTTTTCGTATCAAGGGTAAACTTGGTCTTTGAGAATGTCACCGAGCACCCACTTAATAGAATAATATGCAAATGCGTCAGGTTGTAGCTTTTCCACGCAGTTTTTAACTCTTACGTTATCTCCAGCAGCTCTGGCGGAAAGCGGCCGCGTGCGTGCGTGCGTACACACGGAAAAATATAATGGGTCTTTCTTTGTTTCTCTTTTTCCGCAGAGCAACCTGCAAACAACCAAGGGCAACCTACCCTGCAGCCTTTGCCGCCTTCCCATAAGCAGCACTCGGCCCAACATCACCCATCTATCACTTCTCTCAATAGAAACTCCCTGACCAATAGGAGGAACCAGAGTCCGGCCCCGCCGGCTGCTTTGCCCGCCGAGCTGCAAACCACACCCGAGTCCGTCCAGCTGCAGGACAGCTGGGTCCTTGGCAGTAATGTTCCACTGGAAAGCAGGTAACGTGATGCTTGAAGTCTTCAAACCATTTGCTCATCAAGATCACTCAGGGCACAGGGAGGGTACATGCTCCGATTGTCAACCACGCATATTTTGAAACCTCTAAATTTAAAAATAAACTAGTCCAGCGCTTTCCTCACTCACAGGAATTTATCGTAATTATAGCCCCAGTGTTGTGTCTTTTTTAAGGCAGGTTCCAGATTGCTGGAAATTTCCTAGGCGCTGGATCAGTGAACTTTTTCATCTTTTCACACGTTTTGTTCCTGATCCGAGGTGAGACCCTGTCACCTCAGCAAAGGTGCTCCTCACCGCAATCCTTTTTTTCACGTCTGTACTTCTCAGGCAGGTGAGGAATGGAAGGAGGTATAAACATCGCTTGTCAATCCCATGCGGCTTTACCCGGTGATGGTGATTGACAGCTGATTGGCTCTAGACTTACACTTCCACAGCCTCCGTGTTGACCATTTTTCGTAAGCTCATGGTGGGTGGACCGCCCCTCCCCCAAGTACAAAGCTTACAAATGAGTCGGAAGGCCTTATGTCAAAAATAGTTTTCTGCAATGTGAGGGGATCAGACTCGTTCTTTTAAACTCCGTTCTGGCATTATTTCCAGTGACACCCAAAATAGAGATCTGTTGGGGCCCTGCAGAAATGCCCTGGCCTCAAAATACAGAACCCACAACCAAGCTTCCGGGTGAAGAAGCCATCTACTCATTCTGAGTTCTATTAGGAACCTCCTCCTCCTAGGGAGCACAGTCACTCTCCCTAAAAATTCCATTCTCTGGTTGTGGTCAGACAAGTGGTTTCTGAACCCCACAAAAAAAACCCACTTGGACACATTCGTTAATGTCTTCATTTCCGTCTTCTGGCTCGATCACCAACATAATATATTCAGTGCGTGATTCAGTGGGGTTCTGAAATTACGAGTTCTGGCATGGGCCAGGTCCTAGTGTCTGTCTGCTCACACGAAAGTTTAACTCGATGCAGCCTATCCTAAGCTAATTCATCTCATTGTTAAACAGCTCCCGGTTCATAACACTCCTGCTTCTTCAGGTTCACGGGGACAGTCACTGCTCCTTGGTGTTGTGGTGTGGACAAAGGGTCATTTACCTTCTTAGTCATTTCTGGGCAGTTTGGCAGCAAGCACCCTCTACCACGCCTGGTACTTATTTCCGTGATTCACTAACTTTTTATTAGGCTCAGAGGAAACGAATTATCACCATAGAAAAGCTCAAAAATAGTGGACTCTGAACCCGTGAGAGGCCTCCTGCCCCCTACCCCCCCCACTCCGCCATGCAGAACCCATGGCCAGCTTCGACATTTCAATGATCTGCTGGGTGAAGAACTAGTGATGAATAAGCTGCTATTTCTTGCCATCACTTGTTGGTTCTATACCAGCTCTGCCGCGAGGATGCACTGAGGAGGTTCTCTCTGTCCGTTACCAACAATAAAAATCATTCTCATTCTATCTTTTCTTTTCTTTCACTGTTGACCTAAACAAGGTTACAATGAACTCTCACCCTTTTATCTGTAGTGCCAGCCAATGGTAGTTGAGTTTTATTGTTTATTTTGTATTTCCCTTCTGGGAGAAATTAGGAAAAGAAATCAAAAGAAAAGGAAGCAAACAGGAGAATTCCCTTCATCCGAGACAAAGAACCATGTGTATGGATTTTTTTTTTCTTCACAAGGTTATTAGCAGGGACCTAAATTTACCTGGCTTAATTAATTACTACCCACTGAGCATCTAATCAACACTGGTGTACTATTGTCATTTTGTAAATTTTATTAGGAAAAAAGTAATTTTCCAGTTGAGTCATCAAATTGAATATGGATAATTGCCTTGTGGTTGACAATAATTGTTTTGACAAAGATTTATGGAATATGTCGCGTTAAATCATCAGAAAGGTGTTTAATTTTAGTGATGTTGTATAACACAAAAGCCTCAAAAACAGTTCCTAAGAGAGTCGGGATTCCTGGAAGTCATGTGTTACCGTGAAGAAATAGAGACCGCCTTTGAGAAAGATATGGTGCCTCCGTGTTATTCCGTGTGTGGTCATCTGGGGTGAATGGAGTTTCAGAAGGAAAGTAGCTAGTTAGAAAGACAATCCATTCTATCCGTGTGTAGAATCATTCTCAAGGGAAGCAGTTCCCAAGGATGTCTTCCACTTTAAGGTTGTACCCCTAAAGAGGCATCAATGGGATGACATAGTTTTGTGAGTGGATGGGGGGGCGGTTAATATTATCTCACTAATAACTAGAAAGAGTAATGCGTTTAACATCTGTGTGTTGCGTTAACAAACCCCACCTGTGGTGTAGCTTTGTTGATCTTCTTGTTAGCCAAGGTTCACCTCTTATGGTGGTGCTAATAAAAAGAAATGATGTTTCAACTTGCAGGCACTCGGTGAATAACGCTAAGCCGCGAAGTGAAAATCTCACAGTGCGCGGGCGCAGTGCTACTGTGGTTTCTTTAATAGTCTCACTTGGTTGGAACTCTCGAGGTGAAGAAGCAGTCTTATTTATCATTGATTTTTTTTTCTCTCTTTTAGTTAAGGTTCCCTATTGAGTATGATTCTCTAGCTCAGTTTCAGCTTTATTAACAACTTCATCCCGAGGTGCACCTACCTTTAACTGTCCTTGGATCTAGGGTATCCCCCCCCCCATCCCTGGCACGTAGGTAGCGTTTACACACACTTGTTTATTAATTACTTTCCTATCATTTAAGCATCGTAAGTTGGAAAGTATAAAATTCAGTTCTGGGGAATTATGGGTATAGATTTTCATTCCTCTTACCTTTTTACATCAGAGGATGTCGATAATATTTGGTAAAAATTTACCTGGAATAATCCCTGAAGATCTCAGTGATTTGGAAGTTTACAGTTTATATTAATAAGCACAGAAAGGATACAAGCCTTTCTGCCCTGTCCTACATAGCTTTAATTTTGATTCATTAGGAAGCATTTTTATCCTTCACCAGGCAATTTCTTGCTTCCACAAAAATACGTATTTTCTTCCTCTGATAAATTTATTATTTGCTATTCCTGGAGACAGTCAGTACTCCCACGCACTCTATTTTCCCACATGGTAACCTGCTTTGGTCCTTCTGCAACCTCCATTGATATGTGAGATTCACATTGAGATTCGATTTAGCTTTCATGTTCAAAATTACCTTACTCTGTAGCAATCGGCCCCTGCACTCAATACGGTACAGTGTCCTTTCCCAGTTCCTTCTCCTTAAGTTCAGTTATTGCAATTAGGACCATGAGCTGTTAGGATGTTGAGAGCCTAGAGCTAGCCTACTGTCCCTTCTGTTGTACTGCAGCTCCTTCTACGTGTAACAGTAGCTGCTACAAGAGGACGCAGAAGCCAGTGAAAAGCGTAGGCTTGACCTAGACCAGCAATAGCACTTCAAGGTACCGTGCAGGAACTCAGTAACGAGCCTTGACCCTCAGTGATTGTTTGTCTTCAAGCCCCCTAGTTTCCATCTATGAATTAAGTAGCGTAGTAGTTACCTTTTAGATGTTAACAAAGTAGTTCATAGCCACTTAATAAATGATTTATTAAAGTCTCATTTTATTATGACATCTGTTTTGGCATTAATAGTTCATTAATTATGTTCCCATAGCTTTCTACCTAGAAGTTCAGTACTGCTCAGCTAATTATTAATGCATGAAATTGCATATTAAATTACCTCTTTATTAGTGCATTTTTAATTTGACTATTGAAAGCCCTGGGCTTCTTTTAATGTAAGATCAATTGCTATGCATTTTATGAGACAGAATCCTTAGGTGGAAGTGTTGCGTACTTACTTCATTCTCCTTTTCCTTGCCTTTTCTCTGCTTTTAAATGGTCCTAAGGAGAAGCAAGGCAATCATACAGCATCAGGCCTGAGTCAGTCTCACCTACAGAAACTGCGGGCAGTCTCTCACACGTGGTGACCTTATGATACCAAGAGAAGCCTTTTCCACCTGAAAAATTGTACATCTATCTCCTGAGCAAGAAGGAAATGCCTGTCATTAGCAAGTCAGGGAGTAGTAGGACCGTCTGTAGTTACAGCTATTGCTGCAAGTAAAATAGGCCTGGGCAGGTAGCCCATTAACTTAAATTGACTGGTTAAGGTCTCGCCTTTGTCAAAAGTAGCTTGGGGATACCCAGGGACTCCTGTGGGCAAAGAGAATGTGACACTCTAGAAAAGAGGTGTAAAAGAGAAGCCAAAGTTGTTGAACACAAATTTTAAAATCACACCTGGTCCTAGGGTAAGAAATTCTCAGCCATTAAAAGTTTTACCATCCTGTCTTTAAAATAAGCTTATCTAAAATAACGGTGAAGCCATTAATAGAAGTCAGTTGGATCTTAGAGCAATCCTGCCGTCTTTACTGTAACTTAGGGTGTTCCTTAAAGCCTCTGTAGGAGATGTGGTATGTGGGCATTTGTGAGGATAAGAAACCAAGAAGGGGAAAGAGAGCAATACGATGGAGAATTGTCCGGGTGCTACTTAAAGGCATATTTGAAGTTGCCCCTTAAACTCCTTTTTCTCTGGGAAAGGAGGGCACAGAATTAGTTCGGTGCCTTAGCTCTGTGTTGACCGCGCACTTCATCCAAACAGTGACACTTCGCTAACACAAACCCCTGTTGTCCCTGACATTCAGAATCGAATCCCAAAGGGTGAAGTCTGTAGTCTCTCGGTCCTAGGCAGATGGTTATGAAAGACAAATGTGAGGGTAGCCTTTGGACACAGATGTGGCTAGGAACCTGAGCTTCTCTAGTTTCTCTTTGATTTGCAGCAGATTCTTAATCATTAATCATTTCTTAATTCACTCACACAAAAAGCTCCTGTTGAACTCTAAATACAGGGATCCCAAAGTAATATATAAATATTTTTCTTGATGTCTTGTCTTCACAGTATCTAGTGAAGACAGTGTATTGGATTCGGGCTGTAGCCCAGTGGTAGAGAGAGGACTCACCCCGTACATATAAATCCCTAGAACCTGAACCTAGCACTA